AAGATGCCACATTTTTCTGCCGTCCACCAAATTGACCCTTGTAGCTTGTACAGTGATTAGCAGACATCTTGGTTACATAATGCAGAAAATTATATAATAAAATGCCCAAAATATAAAACTAATACCCACGATTCACAGTTGTGTGGTTCAAATGTTAGGGAGTGATGAAAGGCTGAAAGTTAATTTTCATCATGTTATAAAACCGTACGCGTTATTGATTGAGAGCTTATTAAATGCAGGCGTAACCCTTTGTCGAAGAGACTGCAGATTCAGTTTGGAGGGTTTCCAAGACAGGATGAGGAATATCAAGAAGTACAACAATACTAAGAAAGAAGAAAGTTCATCAAAAAAAAAATCTCTGGCTGGAAATGCACTGAGAATTGACAAGTCATGAATAAAAGTTTGAATCGCCCTTAAGGTTTCTGTCATCAGGGGAAGGGGAAGACAGACAGTATCCAGAGATGGCAAGGAAGAAGGAAGGAGCAGAGGTCAAGATAATCTGTATTCAGATATAGAACATGCAAGCATCTGAATTCCGAAGCAGATAGAATTGCTTTGCATATAATATTGTGGTTTTACAGTTTTTGTTAGCTTCTGAAAATTAAAAACATAACATGGTAAATGGGAATAAAATGACAGATTCTTTTCCCCAACTGATCTCAACATGTTAGTCATTAGCTAAATCCTCGCCTTGATCTGGATAATATTGGATCTCATTTTAATTGCAGTTTACTTGATCTAATTTCAATATTGAGGTACTGGGGCAGTGTGTGGCTCAGCGGGCTAAGCCTCACTGCCTGTGATTGGGTCACTGCCGGCTTTGGCAAACGAGTCACCTGTCTGTGGGCCCTTGAGCAGGGTCCCCAACCCTAAACTATAATAATAATAATTAATACTTTATTGATCCCCGTGGGGAAATTGTTTTTACGGGCAGCCACCCATAGCAGCGCCCAGGGAGCTGGGGATTGAGGGCCTTGCTCAAGGACCCGCAGATGTGCTGAGGCTGGGCTTGAACCGGCGACCTTGTGATTACAGGCACACGGCTTAGCCCACTGAGCCACACGCTGCCCCCAATAGGTGCTATTGTTGGTGGCTGCCCTTCACTGCCAAGCTTATGTGTGTCATGGAGAGCAAGACAGGGTAAGCAAAAAGAGAATTTCCCCACAGCAATCAATAAAGTGTCATTATTATTGTCTCATCATAATATAATCATTATTCAAATAAGTTCATTTTAAAAACTGAATCAACTGATACTAAAGAAAGACTGAAAAATCAAGTGAAACCACTTTTTAAAATGTTTTATGTCACTAACATAAACTTAAATTATTTTATTCTGTGTTCAAATTGAGGTGATTAGTGCTTCAGTATTACTAATTTATGACTCTCAATGGCATGAATGCAAATGAATATTGGCTGGTCTTAAAATGCTTCACTGCGGAGTGAAGACACTGCAGTCTTTACGGCACTGTAGTCAGACGTCATTAGTTTCACTCTGTAGACTTGAGTTTCGCTTTTTAAATGACATGTTCTAGAAGCTTCGGGTCGTCATGGTTTCAGTAAAGAATAAAACTCGCATTCGTCAGATATACTAAATTTACTTAGTTTCACACTCTTTAAACTTTTGTATTTCATCTTCGTATGAGATTGTATTTGTCATGTCGTTGCAAGCGGTTGAAATTCATATCAAATTCATAACATTGATCCAGATTTACGTAAACATGGAGTCATACCTAGCAGTTTTCGAGCCCTGAACCTCAACAAAATCACTCATAGTCCAGATCGTCAGATTGTAAAATAATATTGTTATTAAAGGAACCGTCTGGGCTACAGAATGGCTTCTGATCGTCATAACTCAAACCCTGAATCTTTAAACTGAAATTATTTGGCTTGCATTCTACTAGTTAAATGTGATTTTGCGTCATGCACGCAAACGTAACGCCGCGCTAAATGTGGCTGCGTTGCAGATGTTCCTGCGGTAGCTCTGAGGGCGGCGCTGTTGCGGCATTTGTGGGGTTCGCAGGTTTCCCCCGAGTCTCTGCGGTTTCCTCCCGCAGTACAAAGACATTCGTTGAGGAACTGGCCAAGGCTTTTTAAAAGAGAGTTGTATAGCGCTGACACCTAGTGGGAAAAAAGTACTGTAGAAGTTAAAATGCGTGAACAAAGCCTTAAATAAAAGTTCTAGGCTCCTGACAAAATGTCACTTTACATTTTACGTATTTAATATCCCCTGCCAAGCGATGTTCCAGGGTATCCATAACCCTCTGAAGGCCCAGAGTTACTTTAATAAACTTTATTGATTCTAGCGGGAAATGTAATTTACGCTTCGGGTAAAAAAAAATAAAAGTAAAATGTATAATTTGGTCTTGTTGTCATCATTATTAAGAAGTTTTTAATAATCTTCAACCAGCCAAATTTGTCTCTTTTTAACAGATAGCATTGTGTGTTTCATAACTCATAAGTGTTCTATTCTTTATTTTAACACTGCTTTATCCGCAATGAAAGTAAAGTTTTAATAATATTTTATCAAATATTGATAATATTGTGCTGATCAGCTAGCTGGGGTGCTAATAAACATCTGTAATCTGTCTCTGCAGGAGCATAAAGTCCACACATGCCAAAAAACCACTACCATCGTCCCAGTGCCCGAAAAGCAAGCAGTCACATGTCTGAACGATTATCGTCCTGTTGCTCTAACACCGATTGCTATGAACTGCTTTGAGAGGCTTGTTCTCGCACACATCAAGGCCAGAATTCCCACTGATCTGGACAGCTATCAGTTTGCTTACTGGGGAAACAGGTCAACAGAAGATGCAATTTCAGTCGCACTTCACGCTACCCTGTCTCATCTGGAGCATCCCGACACATACGCCAGAATGTTATTTATTGACTTCAGCTCCGCCTTTAACTCAATAATCCCTCACAAACTGATTACCAAGCTCACCAACCTGGGGCTAACCACCACTCTCTGCTCATGGATTCTGAACTTTCTCACCAACAGACCACAAAATGTCAGGGTGGGAAACCGCATATCATCCACTCTCACACTGAGCACAGGAGCACTACAGGGCTGTGTCCTCAGCCCAGCCCTTTTCACCCGATTCACACACGACTGCACACCCATCCGCACCTCCAACACCATAATGAAATTTGCAGATGACACCACGGTAGTGGGACTGATAACAGGAGACGATGAGACCTACTACAGGGAGGAAGTGCAACACTTGGCACAGTGGTGCTCAGACAGCAACCCTGTCTTGAATACATCCAAGACAAAGGAGATTGTTATGGACTTTCTTCCCAATCAGCTCCTTGTTAAGTTCTACAGGAGCACAACAGAGAGCATTCTCTGCTGCGGTGCTACAGTGTGGTACTCCAGCTGCATGGCAGAGAACCGGAGAGACTTGGAACGGATAGTTAAGATTGCGCAGAGGATCGTGGGTCTCAAGCTCCCTGATCTGAACAATGCCAACTATGTAGGAAGGCTAGCAACATCATCAAGGACCCCACCCACTCGGGTTACAAACTGTTTGCCCCCCTCCCATCGGGCAAAAGATTCAGGACCATCAAGTCACGAACAAACAGACTGAGGAACAGCTTTTTCCTGAGAGCAGCGGCCTCCGTCACGCCCCTTCCCACTACAGAACACTGACCATTAAGTCACTTCCACACCTCTGTATTGCTGCTGATAAGCACTTGGTCACTTTAAATCACACTGACTTATAAATACCTAAATCTGTAAATAATTTAAGACTTTTTCATCCAGCATACTGTAGACTGCACTAGGTAATATATTTTTTCTATTGTATTTTACCAATAATTACATTAGGTTTATTTATATTTATACCACGTCTATGAGACTGTATTTCATATTAATGTGGTACATTAATGTACCTCTTTGCTGCTGAGCCGTAAGCTGCCAAACAAATTTCATTGTATTTCTGATACAATGACAATAAAGTCTCTTATTCTTATCCTTAATCCTAGTAAAATGTTCACTCTGGATTAAAAAGTACACATTTGATGGAAAGTAATGTAATATGACAGACAGAGACTGGACAGAGGCCACAGATCAAAACTGGAGTTATTGTTGTCATTACTGGAGTTTCCAGACTTTAAATACACAATGAGTTAAAATATACATTATACAAAATTCTCAAAATAAATCTTAAATCCAATGTTTAATAGTTAGTTAGTCTTTTAGGCAATTAATACAAATGAGACATTTTAAGTTATCTGCCTGTCCAGTATTTAGTTATTTTGTAATATATCATCAAGCTGTATCATGGTAGCTATATCATCAATAAGATGAGGGCATTGTCCTGTGTCATGTTTTTTTCCCCAGCTGTCACTCTCTGTTGCACCAGATCACATAATAGAGAAATTGGGAAGTTGATGAGCAGGAAAGAGACCTTCTATCTTCGCAAGAAAAACGACACACCTACAGGGGCTGCAGTTCCTTTGTACAGAGTACCTTACAATGGCCTACCTGTTTAAACTATCTGCTCTTTTTTTAGCAGAATTTCATCACCTATGAGTCATAACAATGGGTTCACACAAGGCCCTGTTAAGGAGAAGCATTTCTAAGTACAGACGTCAGACTGAGGCACATCTGTTTAATGCCCATTTCCGCTCACTGTTCAGTCTCTTTCCGTTCCTTTTTTCCCATTCTACTCTCACTCCTTGCAACCTGTGGGCTGCGTTGCAGACAGACCAAGTCCCATCACAGCCTACTGGTTAATAAATGATTTATCTTTACCGTTCGTTTAAATATTTAAAATTACAGCAGTTCATCACAATCAGGATCTTGGGGAAACATGGAGCCTATCACAGACAGCATGGGAACAAAGCAGAAGTACACCCTCAAAGGGATCTATTACAATAAGTGACTATTCCTTATAATTAGTATATAATAAACAATTGAATCAGTGAGTACTGAGTATAATGAGACATTTGCCAGGTTTAAAAGAATAACCAGTTTTATGTTACACACACAGTCCCTCTATGGTTAAAATATTTTATTTTCTGTTTATCGTTATCTATATTTAAGAACTGAGTTCTTATATTTAGAAAATAAGAGCATGTTTATGGTAGTTCAATGTTTTCAATAAAGAGATAAAAACAATGGAAATGAAAAATGTATCATTATTTTCGTATCAGAAATGATGCTTACACAAAACATTATTCATTTTTAAGACATTTGCTATATTGCCACAGTTTCACAAATGACAAGTTGGTATGTACAAGATTACAGAAAGAGGCAACAATGTTCATTTCCACAGAGGACAGGAAAGTCAGTCCTGACCCCACACACTCACCCAGACAAATAACAAGCAGCTGTAACACCTGCCACAAACACCAGGCCTGAACTATCCCCCCAGTCTATACATTCAGGAGAAAACTTCATGGTGACTTCAATGTTACTAACTCAGTGCCATGAAAGTGCACATTTAAGGGTTTACATGCCATTATGGGACAGTTATTTAATTTCCCCATTGTTTTTATTGTACAGCTAAAAAAAATCAAAAATACTAAATTTTAAAATGCTTTGAGTTTGGTGCAAAACAAAACAAAAACAGTTTTAACTAGACAAGCTTTTAAAACATTAAAGATTTTTCCAAACATTTCCATTCCTATACAGTATGTTCAGTGGTCCTGCAGTAGAACCACATAATCATGACAATTTTAAATGCAGTTTTTTACAGGACAAATTTCATTAATCAAAGGAAACTTTAAATCCCTATTTATGATTAAATCTAAATCAATCAGATTTCTGTTCATTTCCATCTATCCTGCTTATCCTGGAAAGGATTATGGCTGCTTTCTTTTGATAGTAGGAATTCAATTAACATGGAAATGGGAGCAGTTAGAAAATCAAAATGTCCACATGAGAAAAGCACAACATTTTTTACAGGAAAAGAGAAACTTCCATGTCAGGTCATTTAGTCCTGAGCATAAATTTCCAGCATGCACCTGGTCTGACATTGAGAACTCTTCATTAAAGATTATCTTCAATTAGCAGTTGACTCAACCGGAGACCAACAAACAAAAGAAAATGGTCGCTATTAATGTCCTAGTACTGTCACAGACAATCAAAAGTCTTGGAATTACTATTACTGTATTGTGTCATATTCTGTTCTTTATGTGACTTCTAAATGTTTTTACACTTTACCTAGATATACAGGTTTATAGTACACTGAAGGGTTTCTTCTAAACATCTTTCTTTCGGTTACAAGAGCGTCATCTCTCCCAGACTTAAATCAATTTTGATGCCATTTGATACCAGGTTTGTGTCCTTTTCCAATATGCCATCTGCTACTCAACACCACAGTCTAGTTTCAGCTGTCGATGAGATGGCCTCTTTCATTACACGCTCTAACATTCGGTATTTGCCTAATTTTCTCCAGTTAAAGGCAGCCAAAGGCTGACCCCCCTCCCAGCTCACAACCATCTTCCATTAATGAATAAAAGGCCAATGTGTGAAAAATCCAGTCCAGTAAACAGTTCAGTCTGTGCTGGGTTCTTATCTGAGAGATCAGTGATGCTGCATTACTCGTCTTGCGTTGCCTCTGCTGTTATCTGTTTAGTGGCTTTTCCCTCCCCTGATTCCCCCGCTTTCCTCACCACCTTTGGGCTAGAGGTACTCTTCCTGGCGGTCTGGGGGCTATGTGAGCCTTTTCTCTGCTGCTGGGGGCTTGACGTGCCCCCCATCTTGCGAGCGATAAGGGGGCTTCTGGAGGGCTTTGCCTTGGCAGACTGCTGCACGGACTCCATGGAGCGGAGGGTCCTTAGGCCGAGAAGGCCGCAGTAGTAGTTACACTGGTGTAAGGAGGGGAACTGCTCAAACACCTGCGGGGAAGCCTCCTCCGACAGGCCCTGGTACCTGCAACACAATGCCATCCTTTAGGGCAGGGATGGCGAACCTGGTCCATGGAGAGCCGCTGTGGATGCGGGTCTTTGGGATGGCCTCTCAATCAGCCAATAGTAAAGCAGTGGTTCTCAACTCCAGTCCTGGGGACCTTCTGTTATTGGGTGACTGAGAGGCCGTCCCAAAGATCCGCACCCACAGCGGCTCTCTATGGATCAGGTTCGCCACCCCTGCTTTAGGGGCTTATCGATTCTCTCCCAGAGCAAACAGAGAATTAAATAAACAGTCCTCTGAAAATGCCTGGAATACCTCTGCAATTGCTGACAATAATGGTGATAATACACTATGATTGTTCATTATTGTCCCATTACAAATATTTGACACAAAATTATATCTTAACTACAGTATACAGATGTTTCCCCTATAACGGGGGTCCCCAACATGTTACACACGTGTGACCATTGCACTTTGAGCCTTTCTAAGGCGCACGTTTAAAACTCACAAGAAGCAGTACAATTTAAATCTGACAAAACTCAGAAAGAAAATCTGACAAACTGTGCTCAATAACCCTGTGTTAATGACATCAAAGACACAGATGTCCCTCCCCTTTCCAGCAGACAACCAATGGGAAATCATCTGTCAATAACACAGATCATTTTTTTAAGCTGATCTGGATATAAGATGTTTTTTTCCTAAAATGTGAAGCATGTAATATGATATAACATGCCAGTAGCACAAGACCACTTTCATTTTTTTCAATGTAGCACTTGAATGAAAACAAGTTGGACACCCCACAGTGAAACATTGTGTTGATTTTTTTTTCCTGAAGACGTAAGAAAATGTGCGCCATATCATCCAAAATCTCAAAAGTGTGCCAATGATAAATAATAATAATAATAATAATAATAATAATAATAATAAATGAATAAATAAAATCTGTATTAAAAACAAGATTTACCCCCTTGATTTGGTGGCCACAGAAACATTTGTGATCTTCATATCAACACCTGCAACATAAAATACAGAGATTTTAGCCAATGGGAGAGGTGCCCTGAGGCGAGCGTCTCGGGGCGATCAGCCTGTTCTACCTTCCAGTTGGGTGACCAGCAGGTTGCCGCTGGTCCACTGGTGGATCCAGTGCTGAAAGGCACAACACTTCTGCTCCGTCTCGGACGAGTTTCTCATCACAAGCCTCCCGGCGCTGTCCTGTCGGCAGTATCTCACGTACGTGCCCTGGAGGTCGGTCTCCACTGTGGCGTAGGGAACCATGTTGCCAGGCCGATACATTAGATACACAGGATTCACTCTGCACAGGTGCAAACAGGCAGAAGAGCATCAATTTCAGGACCTAACTGAACTGTATAACAGCAATAAAAATTAAATTGTGAATTAAATGACTCTGCTTACTGTTTCAGGTTAAAACTTGGTATTTATCCTTAATTATTAGCTTTATCATAGTTTTTTTAAATTTGAGTCCATGATGCAAAAACTTGTATCACCATTATTTGCACCACTGGCATTGTGATCATACTCACTCCAACGAGGGGCCAAAGCTCTCTTTCGTTCTTGCCTCTGCGGCGAATATTTTGCAATACTCTCGCATCGTGTTCTGTATTTTACACTCCTGAGAGGGAGAGAGGGCTGACGTTCACCCAGGCTTGAGATAAGATAAGGCAGCCGGCCCAGGCTTTCCCTTTCTACGGATCTCTCCATGTGGTACGGTTGAACACAGGCGGACCCCTCGCACGCTAAGAGGTCATGTTAGCCAAGATATCCACCAGATTTTACAGAAGGCTTTGCATAGTGGCGTATAACAATAATGGCTTCCTGAGCCTAAACAGCAATAATTACCTTCACCGACATCAACTGAGTTCTGCATGAACACTTACTCTGTTCCATCTTGATAGCCAGCTCATTTTCACACTTTGTTTTAAACCAGTTATCATCTCCTCCACGTCCCCTAAATCCAATTCTGACACATGTAGAATACAAAGACTCAACACTGAGCTCAAGGCCACAGCTAACACTCGCAAAATCAAAGATTCAAACCTTGTATGAGAAGCTTATGGGATCCAGAGGTGATCAGACCACTGACTATTATATATAGTCTGTTATATACAGTGAGGTACATACAGTAAAAGTTTTATCTTTATCTTGTGTTGTCTCTTAAATCACACAGTAAATGAACTGCTGGGCTCAATTTGTTTATGCAGTTTAAAACAACATCCTGATCACTTTCATATTTAAAGACCGTGATCCCAAGCCTTTTTTTAGCTTCCTGTCTTTTAAAAGCTATTAAAAGGTGCAGTGCAGATGATGACATGTTGACTGATCCACACACCAAGAAAGAAGAAATGCCAATTTTAGCACCGTAATTAATCTATACTCATTCCTACTTCATTAAAAATCATGAATATAATTCATCAATCAGATGCAGATGGAGGTCCCCCTTACTGTGCAGGGCTCTCATAGCTCGGATCGTATTCCGTGACGCTGACCTGCTTCGTGATCTCCATGTTCCTCTCCGTCAGGGCACTCTCCTCCTGGCTCCCGTAAGCGATGGGGTTGCGTACTTTGAGCATGCAGGTGGTCCCTGACACAAAGATGGGCTCCAGGCCATAAATGGCCTTCACCCGGCTGGTCTTGCGACCGCAGCCTTCGCCCACATGGGACTCCTCACTCATGATGCGCCCAAATAGCTTGGCACCCCAGCACCCGGCGTCTGCCAGGCCTCTGGCGAACAGTAATGGGGTCATTTCCACCTCCTCTCCAACTGCAGTAGACATGAGACAACACAACCTCAGGGCGCAGATAGAGTAACAATGTCCCGTTTGACCTGGGTTTACTGTTTGGAAAAAACTTCAGGACAAGAAAATCTGTTTACCTTCTACATCTTGCCTGAAGAAGAACTGAGACAGTACTGTAATAAGCAAGAGACAGTCAAATTAACCTCTGTACGTCAAAACAAGAAGCACATGCTGAATGGACTGAGGAAGTCGTACTATCTGCGCTGAGCAGGTAGTCCGTGGAGTCGCTCCCGTACTCGTTCTTTATGGAGCAGCCATACACACCACAGTCCCAACTGTTCACCTGCACAATGGCCAGTGCCAGGGGCCTCTCGTCACCTGCACTGGGGAATCAAGATGAGAGAACCAGTCATGTTCCAGTAAGATTCAGCATGCTACCCATTCCTGTCCTCCAGGGGTCGCTGGCGCACAGGAGCCCACCGTGAGCATGAGCTTTTAGCTGACACAGCAGCCGACAGAACAGATTTAGATATTAACTAGAGCCGCCAGGCTGGGATGGTGCAATCAAGCAGCATTGGCTTACATGGCCTGGGTATGTACCTCTCAGTGTCACCGATGTGGGTTTCATAATCACATGGCCAAGGGTTTGCAAGCTGCAAATAACTGTGAAACACCAAGAGCCTGGGGATACGCTTAAAGCTTACTGCAAAGTTTTCGATGCTGTAATAGCCTCTATCACGTGCCTTATAATATTATTCAATTCAATTTGATTTGATTTGATTTCACAACATGACATCGGCTCAAAGCGCTTTACATTATCCCCGCCCGAAGCCCCCAGTGAGCAAGCCAGAGATGACAGTAGTAAGGAAAAACTCCCTAGAAGGAGGAAACCTTGGGAGGAACCAGACTCAAAGGGGGAGCCCATCCTCCAGGGGGCAGCAGAGGAAATAAATGACTGCATTGTTGCATGATGTGACAATGCAGGTTGCAAGCATCATTTGAAAAAAATCAATCTAGTGGAGAAATAAAACACAGATGATCCGTGATGAAATGAACACAGACACACACACACACACCCTCCACGAGTGAAATGTTGCCCAAATTGTTTGGGAGCTATTGATGAGCATGCTGACTCTACAGCTGGGGCAGTTTTATTGTGGGTGTAGGTCTTTTGGTCGCTTCAGTTATTACCTCCTCTTCACCTCTATGATCTCCACTTCATCTCTGTACCACTTAATAGTGGAGTCACTGAGCACATTGAAGAACTGGCACCAAAGCTTCAGGTGTCCCGAGGCATCAGAATAGAGCTCTCCTCTAATCTTGCGGATAACCTGTGGAGCTGTCATGAAAGAGACGAACTTTCCGTTTAGCATGACTTTCAGTTCCTCTTTCCTTACAGGTAAAAGTTTGCCATTAAGTGCTAAAAGCAACCACTTAAAAAATTACCTTTGAAGGGGTTTAGCTTCTCCTTCTCTGCTGGTTTGGTATCAGTCTTGGGAGTTTCAGTTTCCCTGAGTGTCTCCTCGTGGTTTTTGGGTACCTCAAGGGTGCTTTTCCTGCGACTCAGGAAAGGGGAGCGCCTCTCAGTTGGAGGAGTGTTCAGGGTGGATCCTCTGCGAGTTTGGGGAGGTGACCTGCAGGAGGGCTCCTGCTCCTTCTTCCCTGGGGCCTCGTGCTCTTCTGCCCCGCCAGGGTCCTCTCCTTTAGCTTTGTGGGCAAAGATCTTCCTACGTGCCCCAGATGCGAGTTCCTCTGGGGTGGCTGATGGGATGCCGCCCAGA